GTTCCTCTTTTTCCATATCTTTGCCAGAACTTATTTGTTGGTTTATTGATGATAGTCGTTCTGGCAGATATGAGGTAGCTCATTGTGGTTTTAATTGGCATTTCTCTGTTTATTAGTGACATTGAGCATCTTTTCATAAGTCTATTGGCCATCTGTATGTCCTCTTTGGAGAAGTATCTATTCAAATCCTTTGCCTATTTTTAATTGAATTCACTTCCTGGTGTTGAGTTGTTTAACTTATTTATATATTTTGGAAATTAACCCCTTATCAGATGTATCATTGGCAAATATGTTCTCACATACAGTGGGTTCCCTTTTCATTTTGTTGATGGTTTATTTTGCTGTGCAGAAGCTTTTTAGTTTGACGCATAGATTTGATGCAACTCCTGTGTGCGGAGTTTGTTTATCCCTAACCTATTCCAGAAAAAAATAAAAGCAACTTACAAAATCACATAAATTAAGACTCCAAGTGAGCAAGAAGTAAGGGTGGAGATGGAAAATAAAACCAGGCATGATGCCAAGACATGCATCATGTCTATACACTTGGTGTGGGCCAGGGACACGTTTGGCTCTGGTTTTCTAGCAGTCAACACAGAACGAGAAACCTGGTTACATGTCACGAAAGAAATACAGTTGCTTAGAAAAATTACAATCTTTTTTCACATAAATAAGAGTTAGAGTTTCTTCTCCATGGTTTTTACAAAGAGGATACTGTACGATTTCGTAAGCAATGTCTAGCAACACTCTTCCTTTGTACAATAGAGTTTCATGGTTGATTCTTATAGAGGATTTCAGTGTGGTTGATGGCATTATACCAAAGATTATCTAATAAAATATTTTGGAATGAGCCAATCTCATTGTCAAGAACTATAAAGGATTGATATTTTACTGTATGTGCAAGCTAACACGCACAGTACATGGATGCTGGCAGGAGACACAAGACTCCTGAGTCAAAGACAAAAAGGACTGTTTATTTATTCATAGCAATAACAGTAGCCTGCATTTCAGCATTTGCGCCAGTTCTAGAAGCCCCAGTGCCCAAAGGGAAGCACAAAGAGGTATAGGTGACAGCTACACATGCCATGGGTTGTATTATAGAAAAGGAGCCCTGGCCTTAGGAAATCTGAATCTTTGATAATAGGAACTGAGCACGTGTTCCCTTTACTCCAGAAGAAACCATTACCTTTATTACAGGGGCAGTAAACAAACTTCTATCTTCCAAAGCTGTTTGCTATACAAATATTCTTTTTGTTTAAGATTTAAAAATATTTAAAAATATTTTTTATTAAATTTCAGAGAGGAAGGGAGAGGGGAGAGAGAATCATCAGCTCCCTCCTGTGTGCCCCCTACTGGGAACAAGCCTGGAACTCAGGCATGTGCCCTGATCAGGAATGGAACCAGGTGAATTCTTGGTCCCTGAGTCCACGCTAAATCTCTGAGACACACCTGGCTGAGCTAAAATATTTTTTTTAACTGATTTTTGGAGAGAGAAGAAGGGAGAGAGAGAGAGGGGTGGGGAACACTGATGTTCCAGAATGAAACATCCATCATCTGCCTCCTGCATGCCCTGCACTGGGGATTGAGTCAGCAACGTAGGGATGTGCCCTGACCAGAAATGAAACCAGCAACCTTTTGGTACACACTAGATGACCAACTGAGCCAGACCAGCCAAAGCCAAACATTCTTGAAAAACAAGCCTGGAACACAGGAAATCAGTGCTTCTTCTCATAAGATGTGCAGCAATGGGAGGGACCTTGAATTGTCTTCTAACAACTATAAATCCAGTCATACTCTAGTTGCCTCTGGTTTAATTCAGAGCTAACCTTTAGACTATTTGGAAGAACTGATGAATTTTGCCTCATTTGATACTTACTCATTGTACTTACTGCATTTTCATTAATATGCGCTGGGTACAGTGATATGGCTCCCACCTTCACAGGATAAAGACAATACGCATAAATTTTATGTGTTTTTCCAGCAGTTCTTCCTAAATGTTCCCAATGGTATTTTTAAAAAATATATATTTTTAACAGCAGTTTTAGGTTCACAGCAAAATTGAGCACAAGGTAGAGATTTCCCATATACCTACTCCTCGACCCCACACATTTAGAGGTACATCATATACCTTCCTCCCTCCCCATACCAACATCCCCATCAAAGTGGTACATTTGGTACAACTGATGAGCCTAAATTGACACATTGTTATTAACCAGAGTCTATTTTTTATATACATGGTTCGCCTCAGTGTTGTGCATTCTATGGAGTTGAATAAGTGTGCAAAACTAGTTTTTTTCACAGATATTGGTGAATACCATATTCTAAAATCTCACAAGTAATGGAGCTTTAGATTTCTATATTTTCAGATAAATAAAGACACAGCCAGAGCTTCGTGTTGGCATTCTCTCATGACAGCTGAGAGACCCCACCAGGATGTATGGATCATCTCCAGTGAACCCATGGCCAGAGGGTAATTCTCCATTGAATATGGCCTTAGATCCTCTAATGATTAGTACATGCCCACAGCTCTGGAGTTTTGTTTTGTTTTTTTAAATATATGTTACTGATTTTAGAGAGGAGGGAAGAATGAGAGATAGAAACATCAACGATGAGAGAGAATCATTGATTGGCTGCCTCCTGCACACCCTCCCCCCAACCCCCACCACCATCACTGGGGATGAAGCCCGAAACCCAGGCATGTGCCCCTGGCCGGAATCGAACCTGGGACCCTCAGTCCGCAGGCCGATGCTCTATCCATTGAGCCAAACCAACAAGGGCGTCTGAAGTTTTATTTCATGTAGCAAGCAAGACGCTTACAGTTCCTCTGGGCTATTTGTCCACCCCCCGCTTGGGTTGGGACTCTGACATGATAGGAAACTTTTTGTTCGTTGAGAAGTGAAATGTCTCCTCTAACACGGTCTGCTTTGAGGCGTGCCCCTTCCCTGGTCTTTTGAGAAGTCGTTTAGTGTCTTCACTGAGAGCTTAGTGTCCTACTAGTTAAGGCAATAAATCACCTTTTCTGGTCAAAATAATCAGAGATCAGCCTTTATTTAATTAGCTCCCAGACAGTTTCAAACTGCAAATAATGATTGCTCAAACAGCCTACAGGCCAAGCCGAGGCTGATTCCGTAATTCCATTACCTAACCCGCGGACCAGCCCCGCACACAGCCTTCTTCTCACTATTTCTGCTCGGTTATTTTTTCCCCTCAGAAACCTGTCGTTTCTGCTGGCACAGGGGCCTCCTGGCAATGGCATATAGAGGCGGGGTCAGCGGTGCCAGCTGGATGAATGTCCAGGCTCGGGTTCGAGAGAGCTGCCTAAGTGAAGTAAAAAATTACAGATGAAAAGACCTGGTAAATAACCCGATCCCCTCCATCACCAGTGCCAGAGCATTCCTATGGCCTCCGGCTCTAATGACTTTCACAATGTGCCTCCTCACACTCCATTTGGGAGGCAGGGCTGCCTCTTCAGTTTCTCTTTGGGAGGTTTATCGACTAGAATCTCGTTTGACCAGAGTTAGTCCACTTCCCTCAGCTACAGCAATCCAGCAGGCTAATTTCGGAGTCAGTATAAATGTACAGACAACATTTAAAGCTCTTTATTAAGGTGGCCTTTCCAGCAAGGGCAAGGCCTATATTCAGGCAACTGTGTAGTGGGAGGAGAGCCGACACTCATGAGCGTTGGAGAGAGAAGCACCCACTTAGAACACAGTGCTACTTAAGTGGGGAAAATACTTTTGTTGTTTCCAGTGACTGTTAGTTATTAAATGCTTCCCGTGGGTCAGGTACTATGGTAAACACTATCCCAAAAATCCCGCTAGCAAATGTATGAAATCGGTGCTATCATCTCTACTTCAGAACTTAAAGTTTAGTAATTACGAGTGCACAATCCAGGGTTAAATTGCCTGATTAAAAAGCCAGCTCTGTTGCTGACTGGTTGTGACCTTGTGCCTGTCACTTATCCTCTCCATGCCCGGGGTTTGTCAGCTGTGAAGTAGAGATGATGACACTGACTGCTTGTTGGTTATTTTGAGGAATAAATGTTTTAATTTATGTGAAGTGATCATATCAGCACCTGGCATGAAGCAAGCCCTTAAATGTAAGCAGAGTTGATGAGCTAGTGATGGAGCAATTTGTTCAAAGGCATCTGGCATACACATTTAAACTCTGGTCAGTTCGATTACAAAGCCCATCCGAATTATTAACCATTAGAATACACTGTCAGGACATTTAACCTATCTAAGCTTCAGTTTTTCTCACAGATAAAGTGGTGATGTCATCATACTTCCTATACAGTCACTGTGAAGATTAAATTACAGTAATGTGGGCAAAGATACTATTACAGCACATGGACCAGGGCTGCGGACAATCAGTGACAATGAGTTCACTATATCTCTGCATCTATATCTACAGACTATCAGCCTCCCTCTCTCTCTCTCTCTCTCTCTCTCTCTCTCTCTCTCTCTCTCTCTCTCTCTCTCTCTCTCTCTCTCTCTCTCTCTCTCTCTCTCTCTCTCTCTCTCTGGTGTGTGTGTGTGTATGTGTGTGTGTGTGTGTGTACAATGAATAGCTGTGTAGCCAAGTATTCACTTTTAAATGTTTCTTATAATACTAAAACTTAAGAATGGTTAAAAGCGCATTTTTATGAGTTTACTCCCATTTAAAAAAAGAATTGGGTTGGTGTACTAGATAATTAGAAACAGCTTCCTTCCTAATAAGGTTTTATTTTATATTTTTAACGTTCAAATGGTTTTAAGTGTGTCTTTTCTGGATTTTAAAAAATAGCCCAACCAATGTTTCAACATTGACTAAATACTTTTTCTTTCACACATGCAGATCGAACATAAGTTTGATGTTTATGTCACAGAGGGAAGAGGCAGACAGTTATAACCTAGCAGGAAATGTTATGATATGTTTTTGCTGTTGTGCCTTTCTTTTTTCTGGTGTGAGAAAGGGTGTGATGTCATCCTGTCTCCACCCCCTGTGAGTAAGCCCACGGCACGGCTCAATGCAGCCGCCCGCCTCTGTCACCCGGAGACGGTCCACTTAAATGCGGCTCCAGGGCTGCGGGACACCCACCAGCATCACTCCCCGGGAGGTGGCAAATGCAACATGCTGTCCAGCTTGGGGTGTCTCCTTCTCTGTGGAAGTTTTGCACTAGCCCTGGGAAATGCACAGAAATTGCCAAAAGGCAAGTAGCTCTGATGTTTTGTGTTTTAACAATAATTTTTTAAGCGATAATAGTTTTGAAATGTTGTCGTTAAGTGTGATCTGCTTTTCCAGATTTGGGGGGGGGATAGTGTTTTATAGGGTGGATAGTCTAAGTTCAAATGTGTGGAGGAGTTACTTTTATAAACTTTTACTTCCCCCCACCTCTCTGTTATTTACTTTTCAGTTGGATCTCTTTATTACAAAAATAAAAACCAGCTTCTTATTAGGTTTAACAGATGTTCACAGGAGCTTGAATTGGTATTGTGTCAAAGTACAGTATTTGTATGTGGAATCAAATTATATTAGATGAGCATTGTAGTCTGTTAAAAAGAGTTGTTTGGTGTTTTTAATCCCCCTTCCCAGAGACCAAGCCAGTACTATCTTAAGGTTTTAAAGAAGCTAATTTGGAAACCTGGAGTCTTTGGTGTAAACCTCACGCACACCTGTTCACTCGGAGGTTTGAGGATCCTAGCATGGCTTATCGGTCATGTGTCAATTCATAGACAGGATTCTCCAATGGAGTTTGGATGAGTTTTGATCTGCTGGACAGGACACTCCCCCCTTTCCTGGCTAAATGCTCTCATTTTAGAATCGGCATTTTGTTTACAAATGTCATCCGCAGCAAATTAAAATTTTGAAACAATCTTTTGAGCCCATCAGCATGAAAACAAGAGCTTTCCTCTCTTCTGCCTTTAAACGTAAATGTTACATGTCCTTTTTTTTGTTGTTCCTTTGCAAAGGCACTTTCCAAAGCCAACTCCAGGTCCCAGAGGCTTTTTATGGTGACAGACTGCTTTAGTAAGCAGGATTAGGGAAAATACAATGGAAAACAGTGGAGGTAATGCAGAGCCACAAGCTTGTCAAAACCCTGCTGGGCATGGAGTCAGAAAGCAAGGTTGTTAGTGTCAGATCATCTAAAGATCCTTCCTGGTGGGTAGTTTGTCCCAAGTGACAACTGTTCTCTCCTCAGTGTGTTGAGTGAAAGTTGAATCTAGAATTGTGAAGGCTGAAGGGTTTGGCTAGTTGATATTTAACATGATCACATAAAGAGTATAGAAAAAGGCAAAGTTAAACTCTGATTGGATAATTATGCAAAGAAAAAGCAAAACAAGTACACACTATTAGATTTTTATCTTCTATCAAGAATTTTGTTTTTTGATCATAGAAGTGTTGTGATATATCAATTATGAGACACAAGCATAAACATTCAGAATTAATTGTTCCTGCTGCTGAAATATTTAATAAGAACATACCATTTGAGAGGAATCCAGAGGTTTTCTCAGGTTCAATTTTCACCTTGGTTTTATTTTACCTTTTATTCACTGTGCAGGGGTGATAGTCACAATTTGTTACTGCAGATTTCTGCAAATTCCAAGTGATTTAATTATCATGTAATCACTGGGTATAAATCTGTTGACATAATTAAAAAAAATGTTATGGTAAAAAAAAATATCAAAATAGCCACAAAATTCTTTAGTCCCAAATGCACTTTAATCTAAAGTATTTTTATCCAGGATTTTTTTTGTAATTTTTGGAAATATCCATAGTTTTGGTAATATTATAAAGTGAGTGGGAGTCTCCTTGCCTGTAATGCTATATTTTTTCTTTATTATGAAAGCTATGAAGAAAGTTTCTTTTAGCTTTAACTGAAGTTGTCTTTCTCAAAATGTATTTCAGGAATAGGTGTTCTGTCCTCAAAAGGGGGTTGGGGAGCATCTACTCTCAATAACTTGGAGAGCACTCATGCTTCGTCTGCTTTCGGGGAGTCACAATAAACATAAGAATTTTACAGGTTCTGAAACTTCTTAGTTAAGAAACCTGTCCAACTTTTTTAACCTATTATTTCCCAAACTCATTTGACTAAGAATGATTTTCTGGTGGAATAGCTATAATATCCGGCCAGGGGCTATCTTTCAGCAGAACACATTTGGGAAAATGCTGAAACAAACAAGGAAAACATGGATAACACCTTTTCTTCTTTTCTAATTTAAACTCAGTTAAATATAATTTGTGATCTAAGAACAGGATAGAATTTTGAAGCTAGAAAGTGCTCTAGTGTGATCACATAGTTCAGTGTTCCCTGACCTTTGGGTTTATAAACCAGTAAAAATTCATGTGTTTTTAATGTCAGGTCCTGCTATGGAGGACATACTTGAATTTTGCCAGGTAAGGATATCAAAGGGGAAAAAAAAATCACCATTGTTTATTTAAAAATAGCCACTTTAACAGATTTATAAAATAAGCAAATTTATGCAAATATATCCATTATTCTTATTTTTCTCATTTCACCTTAGACTGATGAAGTTCATCACAGGCCAACATTTGAGAACTATTGACCTAATACAACCATGTATTTTCAAATTAAGAAGGGCAGGGAAATTTAGTAACTTTCCTACATTGATGGAAGAACCAGAACTGAATCCTGGGTTTCTGATTTGAAACTGTATACTATTTGAGATATACACTGAGTGGCCAGATTATTGTGATTTCTGAACACATAATAATCTTGCCACTTAGTATATATATTAGAGGCCTGGTGCATGAATTCGTGCATGGGTGGGGTCCCGCCAGCCTGGCCATGGGGAGGGGACATGGGCAGTTGGGAAGCCTTCCTGCTGGTCGAACTCTTGGTTGAGGGGACAATTTGCATATTAGCCTTTTATTATATAGAATATACACTGAGTGGCCAGACTATTATGATCTCTGAGGGCATAATAATCTGGCCACTCAGTGTATAATATTGTATTATATTATATTATATTATATTATATTATATTATATTACATTATATCATAATATATATATATATATATATATATATATATATACACACATACATACATAAAGGGTGGGGCAAAAGTAGGGTTACAGTACATATGGAAAATAATACAATAATTGATAAATAATTTATATATATAAAAGCCTAAGTGACTGTTACAACCAGGAGACTGGACAACTGATACCGGCTGGTAGCTATGATACACACTGACCACCAGGGCAGACACTCAATTCAGGAGCTGCCCCTGGTGGTCACTCCCACAGCTAATCTCCCATGGCCAGCCAACCTCCCGTGTTAACTCCCCCTGGCCAGCCAGCCCTGATCAGGATTGGACGAGATGGCCCGATAGACCCCGATGGCCAGTCAGGCCGAGGGACTCCACCCATGCATAAATTCATGCACCAGGCTCTAGTAATACAATAATAAACTCTGTGTTTTGTGTACTCACAACTGTAATCCTACTTTTGCCCTACCCTGTATATATATTTTGTTATTTATAAGAAAAAGAAATAATTTTTAATAAGAATTCACTCATTGCATATCTTACGCATGTTTGCATATCTAGTAACATACTTATAGAAAATAAATTATAAGAGTCTTACTGGTTTTTAAAAGCTTAAAGTTAGAGACTATTATTAACAGACTTCTTGTCTTTACTTCTCAATTACTATATTCTTTGATAAATCATTTACCTTTGCTAAGCTTCAGTTTTCTCATCTGAAAATGGGAATAATGTTAATAATCACACAGTATTTTAAAATTAAATGCAATAAGAGATGCAAAGCTTTTAGTGAAGAGTCTAATATATAACAAGTATTCATTCAATAAATATTATTGGGTCACAAAAAAGTGGGTCAATACTGAAAAAAAATATATGTATTCCAAATAATACATGCGTCCAAACAGATAAACCTCTTGGAGGATAGAAAATGTGGTGACAAGTTCTTGGCAAAAAGGTGGGGCAAGGGAACAAGTGTTGCTCTACAGTGAGAGAAGGCCTCAAGCACGTTCCAGCTTGACCATTGTCAGCACAGTGTTTGATTGTCAGTGGAAATCTGCACCTTTGCCTTAGGATCATCTTTTCCCTGGAGATTGGTAAGGCCTCATAGAACCTCCAGGAGACATCCTCTTATACTTTCTTCCAGGAGCAGAATTATGCTATAACACACAGGCCCTAGAGAAGAATTACCACATTGTACCTTTGACATCCCTGTGCCCCAGCTATGTCACAGAATCTTTGTTCTTGGCACCATAAAACTTCTTCTCCCTCCCCCTCTCCCCCACCCGCCCCCGGAGTCCAGGCTAAAGTAAAAACCACAGAGGACACACATATAGTGAAGGAAGCCAACAGAAACTTATGATGAGACATGAGGGGCTTGACACACCTCTTTACAGAAAATCCCGTGTAATAAGCCAGAGGGCGAAGGCTACCATTTCCAGCCAGCTCCATCAGTCCTCCTGAGGCACTGGGCAGAGAGCCGCCACAGAGGAGCGTCAGGATACAAGTGCAATCGGATGAACCGAGGGCATGAGGCTCTTGGGAGCAACTCTTGTCTTGTGGAAAAGGAAAGGCACAGCCGGCTCTTTGCCTCAGGTTCCTACCTGACGAGGTAGGGATCTCTGACTCTAAGGACAAAACACACAGGGATAGATGATAATGACAAGAACGTTTATAGCTATTAATAACTGTTGTTATTATTTTCACAGATAACATTCTTTGGGCTCATATTAGTTAGTTGTGGTAATTTATGGCTAAATATTCTTAATGTGGAAAATCTAACTAAATTTCCAAGTTTTCCTATAAAGCAGGTGTTTTATTACTCTCATTTTATAGAGCATAAAAAATGTGTGCCTCAGTGTTTAAGTGATTTGCCCAAAAAGTCACTCAGCCAGCAAGTGGTAAAAGACTACACCCTTAATTTCTATGTATCGATAGTACCAGTTCCCTGTTCCATGTAAAGATATGCTAATTTGTTCAAGTATCAAGTTATAGTCCATATACATGCAGAACTCCCGAGGCTGGGAAGACACAGCTCAGCACTTGTCTTCAGGGAGCTGACCAGTTACTGGAAGAGACAGGAATGGATAGGCATCATTACAATCAAGTGAGATCAGCATCTGATTTGGGAGAAGCACAAACAGCTTTGAGAACAAGCAGGAGAATCCAACTCTGACAGAGAATTAAGAGTTATAAGAGAACT